ATGAATAAACCCTAAACCAGCCCTTTAGGGGCTCTTTTTACGGAGAAGGGTGGGGTTAAGCCTCAGGGTCTTTTCGGCTTTAGAAATTTCGGGCTTACGTGTTCTGCAGAAGCTCTTTTAGGATTGCAAAGGGCCCTTCAGGGGGTTGGTTTAGGCCCCCCCTAAACCGAGACCCTAAACGTACATACTTGGAGGCCCCGGGAACTTAGTAAGTAGGCTATAAGTAGAGTTATAAGTAGCCTAAATGGAGTTACCCTAGTTATAGCCCTACTTCTAACCGACTTACTAAGTCCCCTGGGCCTCTAAGTAGGCCCAGTCCTGAGTCAAACTTATTTCAGCTGGAAGCGCTCGACTCGGACATGGATACCTGCAGCCCAGCCAGCCCAGCCGATAGTCCCAGTCCCTGTCCCAACCGGCCAGCCCCCAAACTCAAAATCAGGTTCCAAAAGAAAAACTTTCGGTCAAAACGTTTCGGACAAAACGCTATTGGCACCCAAACCCTTAACAGTTTCTTAAAAACCCTAAACCCTACACCCCGAAACCTTAAACTCTAAACCCCTAAACCCTGAACTCTAACCCTAAACCCCTAAACCGTAAACCCTAAACCCCTAAACCCTCATGCTGCTCAGTTTTGGAGGCTTAAGACTTGGAAAAAGTCTCTTGGGTAACGTAGGGGTCTTACTAGTTAGAATAGGTTTTTGGGCTCCTTTAAGTTAGAAATAACATAAGGAGAACCCTAAGGAGTAATATTGGTAATTCTTTAGACCCCTACACTATGTTTATACAGGGACCTCGAGGGATCATCGTCTGTTCTTACTCCGACCCCCAATGACCCCCACATTAGGCCAACGACCCCTGTCCGCCTTGGGCACTTTGGCACAAGTGGCGTGCACCAGGTTGCCTGCAGCCGTAACCCTTAAACCCTACGCCTTAAAGCTATGCTCTCAACCCTCATCCCTAAACCCTATACCTTAAACCCCTATCCCTAAGATGCAACCCGCAACGACAGATCCCCATATAGTCTGTAAGGTGATACAGGGCTTGAATAGAGTCCTTGGAAGCTTCGAGTTAGGCTCTAGGGGTTTAGGGTTTAGGGTTGGTTTACTGGCAAGTCTTATCTATTCGCTCATGATCCTAGTCGAAACAATCCGAACAGCTGCTCGCAGATCTTGATTGACAAACTAGGGGCCCTATACCCTCATGCTATGAATCCCTATTATGGTATGGGAACCTTAAACCCTTTTAGGGTGCGTTTCGTGTTTAGGGGTTTGCGCCCCTCTTGACGTCTTAGAACTCCAAGCGACTCGTGCCGGATGAGATGCCTGCCCGAAATTCGAACCCTCTAAGCCTAAAACCGTCAAAAAACCGTCAAACATGGGCCCCCAAAGCTCCTAATTCTCTCTTCTTGTCTTTTGGGCAAAGCCCCTTTTTTGTTGTCCTCGGTGCTCTTGCAACTTTGTGAAAGCTCTAGGGTACAGAAAGGGGGTTCCTGGAGTTTCGGCCAGGGCTTATCTCTACGATCACTGTTCCCTAATTGGGGCTTAAGGGGTTTAGGGTTTAGGGGTTTAGGGCTTACGGGTTTAGGGTTTAGGGGTTTAGGAGAAGAGACAGCAAAACACCTATCCCGATAGAAAGACACAGAGGTAACCTTGCTACTAATCTTATCCAGGCTTACCAAAGCCTGAGATCCAACAAGTCTACATCTTACCCCTCAATCCTCAAGGAAAAACTCCATAAGAACCCTTTTTACTAAGTCCCCAAATCCCAAGCCCTAACAAAAGTCTTAAAGGAAACCCTACATAAGAACCCCATCTTACTAAGTCTCTTTGATCCCGAAGCCCTAAAACCTACAGATCGCAAAGCCATGAGCCTTCTACAACCTAAACCCCGCAGCCCTTTTTCGAGCCACAACGACAAGATCTTACGTACTTAGCATAAAACATGCTATAATGTACAATAATGCGCTTTTGGACTGCAACTGAAATTTATTGAATCCCCCTGCGTACCGCGGCTAAGCTGCAGCTCGTTTCCTCGGCATCTCGGCAGGGCAGACCTCCGAAACGGCCAGGAAGGGTGTATAAAGGTTTATGGTTTTGGGGTTTTAGAATTGTAGGATTCTAAGTTTGCGGTTATGGGGTTTAGGATTTAGGGTTTTAGGGTCTAGCTAGCATTTTAGGGTAGGATTTAAGGGTTCAGGGTTTATGGCTTTAGGGTTTAAGGTTTAGGGTTTCAGGGGCCTTTAATTTCAAGGGTTCGTTAATGGTATCTATAATGATGATCAAAAATGCCGTCAAGGCCCAGAGACTCCTCCAACCCTTTCGTCAAGGAATATGAGATAACAGTATAATGTAGTATGCTGTAGTATATCATAGTATCTTGCGGTATATGACAGTATATGAGTATATGATGGTATGTCCTATTGGAGTTTCCATTACCCCCCTTCAATCAAGGAATAAACCTTAAATGATAGAACGGACCTCCGAGAATGATTGAAGGTATATTCCCTTTACCATCCCTTAAATCAAGGAACATACCCCGTAAATCTTATTAAAATGAGCTCCGAGCATCGCTTTCAAGAGTCTATATTCCTTAATGAAAGGCTGCTGGAGTCTCTCTGAAGCTGTCTAAAAGGGTTGAGTGTTTAGGGTCCTTGTAGGGGTTTTGGGTTTGGGAGAAGCTTAGTTGCTGAGTTCATGAGTGACTCCGAACTACATAAAGCATGACATGACTGCCTGACTCAAATGTAAGTAGACATGGTCTGGCGAACTTGCTGCACGAGCTCCCGTGTCCGAAGGCCACATTCCACGAACGTCCACCGTGACCTGGGTGCCGTTGACGTCGTAGAACCGCTTCTTGATGAACGCCGGCATACACGAGTGGCCTTTCTGCCCTCAGTCCGTGCTACGGCTCTAAACTCCAAGCAGCAAGGTCAAACCAATAATCTAAGACAAGGCACGAACAGCCCCCGTGCGGCCACTGGGGTTGTACATCTCCTCCGCCCCGTAGGTGATGATCAACGGCCCCGAGTAATACTGGCCTTCGTCGATCGGCAGCTCGCGTGACTCGTACGGCAACTCATCCGCATCTTGCGGTGGGCCCACACGACGGCCATGACGTCCGGACATGCCGAACGACAAAGTTCGCGAACCGCGAACGACCCTCGAAAAACAGACACCAAAAACCGAACGGCCTAAAGACCGAACGACCAAATCCGAATGACCACCGGAAATGAGCACAAAAACACGTGTACACTGTCAGTTCGATATTGAAGGGGTCATGTTATCCCCCCAAAAGTTTATTAAAGTGTAGTCATTCAGCTACTAAGACAGTGTTGAGTGCTTTTTAAGTCCCGGTATAGGGGTTCCTTGAATGCGATCTATCGGGGTGTTGAGTGCAGGGTTTGGGGCTCACGATTGGTTTTCGGGCTGGCGGGGCTTGCGTGTTCAGAATAAGGGGAAGCCTCGGGAATTGCTGAGTTCTTGTTAAGGGATTTAGTTTAATTAAGTTACCACAATAAAAAAAACCATACTATTTACTATAGATCAAATACAATGAATAAAAAAATCATATTATTTACTATAGATCCCTACTATGGCAGTTTAAACTCAACCTCTAAACAAACACACAGATTAGGATTGATGGCTTGGGGCTTCGGGGTCTAGGCTTTAAGGGTCCGGGCCATTACCTGCGGCACAGAAGGCTGTGTGTACTAGACTAATGCAGGGGCCTTAGAAATTTGAAATTGGGCTTTGGGGCATAATATACCATAATTTCTATAATTAAATCGAATAAGGAACCCTCCCCAAAAAATAGTATAGGTAATTATTAAGGCCCCTACTTAGGAGGTCCAGGGCACTTAGTAAGTAGGTTATAGGCAGAGTTATACGTACCTTAAATGGAGTTACCCCAATTACAACCCTAGTTATAACCGTCTTACTAAGTCCGGGCCTCCCAGTAGATTAGGCAGTTGTGCCTAACCCAGAGCCCCCATCGAACTCCACATCCCAGGCTAGACCTGCAGCTCCAAAGCTCAGCCCATGAAGCTTGCAACTTAAATCGGTAGTTCTCTAAATTGGGGTCCCTTTGTAAGGGCCCTTTTTTAAACGGGTGCCGTACCATATTGCGGACCTAAAAAGGGGACCCTAATTTGGAGAACCACCCAAATGCTAAGCTTCTAAGCGTATTTAGACATGTAGGCCTGCGTCCTGCACCCAGACGCCCATTCAACGCTAAACTATTCCGAAGCCTGAATCCCAAGTCCACAATCTATGCCCGCCTTGCTCCAACACTCCCCAACGAAAGAACCTTTATCCAACTCTGAACCTAGACTCCTTCAACATCCTAAGGCCGTATAAATGACTAGAGCCGCTCAATGCCCACAAAAACCTCAACAACCTGACCTTAAACCCTAAACCATCCACAGCCTAAACCACTAAACCCCAAACCCACAAAAAGCCTATAACATGACCCTAAGCCCTGAACCAGTAAAAGCCTAGGCTGAAACTCCTAAACCCTAAAACCCACAAAACCCCAAAAACCTGACCCCAGGCCGCCTGTGATCGGGTTTTGCCAGTTTCTTGACCTGAAACGCTCCGTGTAACATCAATAAGTTGCAGTAGGGTTCCTTGAAGAGAGTTCCTCAAAGTACTTAGAGGTCCAGGGGGACTTATAAGTAGAGTTATACGTACCCTACATGGAGCTACCCCAAATATAACCCTACTTATAACCGACTTACTAAGTCCCCTGGGCCTCCAAGTAAAAGGACTACGGTTTAGAGTTTTCGGGATTTAAGTTAGGGCTTTGGAGTTTAGGGATTAGGGTTTCGGGGTTAAGGGGTTTAGGGTTTAAGGGCTCAGGGCTGGTTAATCGAGGGCTTAGGGCTGGTTCTGGGATAGCTTGGGAACGACGGAGTTTAGGTTCGCGGGTGGATTTTGGGTGTTAGACCTCTTTGTTTGTGGGTTTTTGCCTGCCAAGCCTTTCACCTTGAAACTTTGAATAGAATCGACGGAACAAGAATAACACACCCTTAGCGCCTTTCAACCATGATGATACTCTGAACACCTCAGAATGCCAATACACCTCCTTCCGGCTTCTCATTTTCCTTGGCTTAGGGGCTTGTGTTCTGCATGTTTTCTTGGCTCGGGGTTGAAGTTTCGGGTAGGGTTTCCGGTTCCGGGTTCAATTTTTTAGGGCTTTCAAGGCTGATCACTGTGCACTATATGATATAGTCTTTACGATATACATACTACATACCACATGCCATATACCATGTACCATATGCTAGAAATCAGAAATTATGTACCATATAAACCATGTGCGTACTGTACTTGCACTTGAAGGCTTAGTAAACCCTAAATCCTAAACCCTAAACTCTAAACCTTAAACCCTGAACCCTAAACTCTAAACCCTAAGCCCGAAACCCTAAACTCTAAACCCTAAGCCCTGAACCCCAAACCGTGGGCAAGAGGCGTAGGGTGATTAGGGGTTTAGGGGCTTAGGGTTTAGGGGTTTAGGGGCTTAGAGTTTAGGGGTTTAGGGGCTTGCAGTTTAGGGGTTTAGGGCCACTTTCGGGTTTAAGGGCTTTTGGATTAGGGCTTAGGGGTTTAGGGTTTAGAGGTCTGGGGTCTAGGGCTCAGGGTTTACGGGCTTCGTCGCTTGAACGGCTTAGAAATTCAAGGTCGAGGCAGCGAAGGAGGTCGCGGGCACAATCGCGCAAACCTGCCAACCTACTTAAAGGTCCAGGGGACTTAGTCAGTAGGTTATAAGTAGAGTTATACCTACCCTAAATGGAGTTACCCCAATTATAACCCTACGAATAAACGACTTACTAAGTCCCCTGGGCCTCTAACCTACTGTTGACCCCGATGCTCCGAGCGATCAGCCCGACATCTCTAAGTCCTAAACCTTCAACTTCTGTGCCCGTAGGAATTTAGGGGTTTAGGGTTTAGGGTTTGTATTTATTCAGGGTTTAGGGTTTGTAGGTATTTAGGGTTTTGGCTCCCTGGTTCTTAGTAGGGAATGGGGGAATGGGTTATAGGGACTACTATAGGGGACCTTAAGGGGCTATCATAGGGATCCATTCCCCCATTCCCTACTAAGAACCGGGGAGAGCCCTCACGCTCTAAGGCCTAAACCGTCGAGCTTCCTTCTCGAATCATCAGACTCCTGACCATTGGCCAAGGGGACTTGCAAGTAGACTTGTCTTTCGAATCAGGGCGGACTGGAATGCTTTGTGCAGCTGTACGGGCCCATTGCGGCTGCAGCTCTCAAGGGCAAACTTCCGAACTCCCACCGTCAGCAGCAAACCTTTCTGTCACATGCCCCGATCGATTCCTTGCCATTTCGTGTAGCTAGTCATCGAGGTAGCCGACGGCCAAGCTCTTGCCGATCTGCTCGAGCCACGCAGCGATCTCGTCGCGGCTCGACTGCAGGGCCAGCCTCAAGAACCTTATGCCCTAGAGCTCAAGAGCCCTTTGCTACACCCCCTCAAGGGTTCAAGGACACCACGAATCCCGAACGTAAGGCCCAAAGACACCTTGTTAAACCTTGTTAAGAAACCGAAACCCTAAACCCCAGAGAATCCTTGCTTGGGACACTGCGTCTTGCAGTCTCCCGCGAACTTGATGAAGGACGTGGAAACCGGTTGTTGGGTGCCTGCCGCCTCGGCCGGCTGGAAAACGTCCTAAAGAGGCTTTACTGTCCCCCATAAGGGTCCAAATTACCTAATCATCATATACTCTCCCAAATAGTAACCTACATAACTACTAACCCAAATCCACGTACCTTTGCTATTGGGTCCTTTGGACCCCTCGGGTTTTATGGCTTAGGGTTTTAGGATCCAGGGTTGGATCTTTAGGATTTAGGGTTTGCAGCTAGTGGACTTTGAGATTTCTTAAGGCTTAGGGAGTTTGTATTTTTTCAGGTGCTATTGGGGCTTTAGGCCTTGAGGGTTGTAGGGCTTTCGGGGTTAAGGTATAGGGTTTGGGGTCTAGGGTACAAGATTTAAAGTATATGATTTTAAAGATGTAGGGCTTGGGGTCTATAAAGTCGCTCTCATCAGGCTTCAATTTGTGTTCACGTGAAAGCTGGGGCGAATGAGTTAGTATGTGATATTTGCGGTAAAAGTAATCTACTTGGGGCTATCTACCCGAAATGCATTCGAGGCTCTTCCAAATTCAGGGCTGCGGCTTTTTAGTGCCCACAGATGCTACCCTGTAAGCTCTGGTGTCATAACCGGCGGCTTTGTTGCGGATGTGAGGTTGCAGGTAGGGCTCAGGGAATCTTGGAACCCTAAAAAGCTTGAACCCTAAACCCTAAACCTTAAACTTAAACCCAAAACCTTAAGCCCTAAACCCTAAACTTTAAACCCTAAACCCTAAACCTCAAACTTTAACCCTAAACCTTAAGCCCTAAGCCCTAGACCTTAAACCCTAAACCCTAAAAGCCGTAAGGAAAGCACCCACCCAAAAAAAAAGCTCAGGTCCTCAGGCCCGAAGTCCCAAACTGGGAGTCGGGCTTCGCAGTGAGGCTATCGTTGTTCTTATCACTGCTACTTCTTAATGTTGTTATGACTGTTGTTATGAGTACTATCATTGTCATTACTATCAAAGTTGTTAGTACTAGTATTAGTATTATTATTGTTCTTCTTCTTATTATTAATTAATATGATCATTTTTATCATTACAATTATACCTCTTATTATTATTACTATTATTATTAGTAGTAGTATTACTATTAATATTATTATTGTTATTATTATTGATATTGATAGTAGCAGTAGCATCATCATGATAATTGATTTTCATCTGTCATTATTAGTATTATTATCATTATTATTCTGTTATTCCTTCTTGTTTTGATTTTACTTTTATTCTTAGGGGAGGTTGGGCCTTGCTGCTGTAGCCTTGATGTTTCCATTCGGCCGTCAGTCCGTCACTACTTCTGGGTTTAGGGTGCCAGAAATCAGTCTTTACCCAATTCCGTGAAGGCCGTGAGGGCGTGTGGGCAAGACGGATTGACAAGACATCCAACTCCCAGTGTCACCATCGCTGACATGCCAAGTGCAGGGCAAAACCCTAACCCTAGCCTCAACCCCCATACCCGAACACCGACATTCACAAAACAA